CGCCTTTCACCTTCACCTGCTTCTTAAAAAAAAAAAATATATATATATATATATATATACTAGACTGTGCGTAGTGGTTTGACAGAGAATTCTTACTGAAACTTTGTGTGTATGTGTGTGTGTAATGATGTTATGAAGCCACTATTTTCCCCTTCCTGTGGCGAAAGGTCGTAATATGTGGTGTTTCACGATTTTATATAAATCTTGGTTTAGGATGTGGAACAGACTCAAAAATACGTGCGCTTGTGGCAGAGACTCCTTCGGGTCCCCATAAAGCAGAAGTAAATACGAAGTCCCAGCGAACAAAAGAGCAAAAACAGTTAATTGCTGCAAATCAGGACTCTCTTCTCTTTTAAAGGGAGATTCATGTACATTCCCTCGGTACATTCTTTACGGTTAGAGCTCGACCTATAAAACAGGTTATTACATTACAGCCGACAAGCCTGGATGATTGAAAGGGAAGTCTCCCCCCCACCCCCCCCCCCCGCCCCTCCGCAGTCGACACTCCGTGTACTTTCTGCCCGGTACCACCGGGGAACCGAAAGCTTGTCAGATGCAAAAGAAAACGGATGGGGCGGGGGTGGGAGACCGGACTGCGTAGAAAAATATTTAGCCAATCCCACATGTGCTACCGCTATTGGGGCTGTTTTCGAGGCCCAGAGTTCGCTGTGACTCTGAAAAAACCACGGACAGTGTGCAACGCTCCCAGGCAACCTGGGAGAGCGCGGAGGGCGGGAGCAAGCCGCAGCGCCCCCTCCCCAACCTCCCCCGAGGCCGAAGCCTCCGCCCAGCTGCTGTGGGAGGGGGTGCTTCTGGGCGGAGGAGAGGGGTGACCGCAGGCGGATCCGCCGGCGTGGCGCGCTTCCCAGAGGTGCCGGAGGGCGTCTGCCCTCAGGGCGTGCCTCCGGGGAGGGCTGGAGAGCTCCGGGTTGGAGACATCCCAGTGGCCAGGGGGAGGCGCGCCATCCCGGGGGTTGCGGGATGGGGCGGGGAGGGGTGATGGTTGGGTCGCCCTAAAGGTCCCTCTCTTCGAATAAAAGAAGAGCTGGGGAGGGGGCAGGAGAGGGGCAAGGGGCAGGGTTCCGGGAGACATCCCTCGCGCTCCGGGCTGCAGAGCTCCGGAGACCGAAAGGTGTCAAGGCCAGAGGAAGCTGCAGGGCGCGCTGCGAGGAGGCGAGCGCCGCCCGGCCTTGGCGCGCTGTGGGCGACTCCCAGGACGGCGCGGCCAGGACGCCGCGAGCCGTGGGGCGTCCGGTGGGATCAAAGAAGCCAAAGGAGGCCAGCCGGCGCGTCTGGGATTGTGGGAGAAGGGGCGGGAGAGAGAGGATGGGCATGGGCGGGGAGAGCCTGGCCTGGCCTGGCCTGCGCCTCTGTCGTCGGAAGGGGGTGTGTGCGTGTGTTGGTGTGCAGGTCAACACGCTGCTGCCCGAGGCCGAGACCTGGGTGGATCCGAGTGTGGGTGGACGGGCTCTCGGGTGGGTGCCCCACCGGGAGGGCGAGCGAGCGAGCGAGATCAAGGGCAACGAGGCCTGCGGGTTCCTGTGTGTGTGTCTTAGGCCCTGCGGCTCAGCACTGGAGCCGCCTGGCACCCACAGGAATGCGGCTTCTCTCAGCTCCCCCGGCCGCCCCCTGTTCCACAAGGAGGTGGCCGCCAGGAAAAAGGGGGGGAAGAGGGCAGAAATCCGCCTAGCCCAACACGAGCCTCAAACAAAGGCCAATTTATCTCATCTTTTACAGGAGGGCCCGGGAGGAGGACGGGGCACCAAAGAGTCATACAGCCGTGCCAGCAGCATGCCCTCGGCCTCCCGGGCTTTGTGAGGAGGTCTGAAGATGGGGACAGGGGCTTGGGAGTACGGGGGCGCGGTGAAGAAGCCCACGCGAAAGAAAGTGAAATATGGGGGTGAGCCTGACATCTCGGGAGCAGTAGATTGACAGCTAGGCAAGTGGAGACCGGAAGGGGCAAGCAGAGGTCAGAAGAGTGGAGTCGGGCTTTTGGGGACCATGCCGGCGGGGAGTGGTACCCGTTTACATTAGATATAGGAATAAACAATGGAGGGAAGGCGGGAGGGTGGGAGGAAAGGGAACATCACACGGATATTTTTAGTCTTTGCTGAGGATCTGTTATTTTTATATCCTTGGGCGCAGGACTGCAGGGAGTTAAATTCCCCAGGGAGAATCCCCACGGTGCCAGGGAAAACCCGCTGCAGACTGGTTTGCCAGAATATTTTTGTCCACGACTCCTAGACCAAGTTTAAAAAAAAAAAAAAACCGCGCGAGAGAAGAGGCCATTGCGAGTGGAAGAAGTGAGGTTAGCACAAGGGAAGGAATCCTGAAACCAAGTCTGTCAGCGCAGCGCTCCGCCCGCCCGCATCAGAAGGAGGCTCCGATGTCCTTAACGACAAGCAGTGTCAGGGCTGGGGGTGGCGGGGTGGTCAGTAAAGAAGAGCTTCCCTCTTCTTTCCGGGAACTCGCCCTTGCCTCTGCTTGACCACGACGGACGAGGTGGGGGGCGGTGGTGGTAGTGAAGGGATCCCCTTTTCAAAGCCAGGAAAGGAGAAGGGGAGATGATGGGGGACGCCTGGGAAAATATCTGCCCTCTCCACGTGTAGAAAAGTAAAGAGTGTGCTCCAGGCACATGCTTGCCCACTCCGGCCACCAGCGGGTCCACCCCCTCCAACCTTCCCGAGCACGCACCCCGGGGTGGCGAGGGGCGCCGGCGCTGGGGGAAGTGGGCACTCGACAGCCGCGCCCGGGCGCGGGATTTCTCCCAGCCGGATCCGCCAGATAGAAAACGCTGGCTTTCGGTGTAATGGAAACTCCGGAAAGTCTTTCAAGCCAAGAATGAGAAGCAGGAAGCAGAGCCCTCTGCCTTTCCCCTCGTCCTCCTATTCTCTGCCGACGCAGAAAACAAAGTGGGCTCCGCACGGCCTTCCTCCAGGCGCGTGGCCACCCGGGCCTTCCTCCGAGAAAGACCAGCTGGAGGGTATCGAAGGCGGAGGCGACTTCGGAAAGGGAACAGCGTTGGGGGTGGGCGAGGAAGGGGTGGTCCACAGCCCTGGCCACGGCCCACGAGCCGCCTTGGAGCCAGGCAGGGTGTCCCTTCAAGACACGCAAACCTTCGAACCCCCCCTTTAGGCCTTTCCAAACTGGCAGGTTAGAAAGGAGAGGGGAAGAGAAGGAAGGAGACGAGCAGAGGAAAGAGAGAAAGAGGCAAAAGAACACACAGGTAAATTCCCCTCCGGGCACACAGCGTGCCTTTTCAGGTCTAGTCTCCCAGCCCTGGAAAAACCTCAGAAATCCTCAGATGACAGGATGTAATTTTTTACGTTCTAATCTCCACTCCCCACCCCCAAGAAGACTCTTTTGTCAAATTTATTACTGCTGACTTCCTAGCTGTAAAATATAACTCATGCAGCTTGTAATTTCCAACAAATGATTTCCCTTGGTGTCCCAAGGAAACAGAATCAGGCGGACGAAGGGACAGTCAGAAAGACACCTAGAGTTCTGGCCTGAGAGTGCAACTCTAGACCCGAGCCGTGGCTCTCCGTGGTCACACTGCTGACGTCTGTGTGCAGAGGTGCGGGGAGAAGAACGGGACAGAGGCCAGGGTTGCTGCAAGTCCATCCTCTCCGCCCCGAGAAGCCTTCACAAAAGAGAAATCCCTGCAAACAGATTCAACTTCCCACCGATTTGGAACCTGCTTTGCCACTGTTTTATGTAAAAGCAAAGCCAGGAGTGCTCCTTCCTGAAAAAACCGGAGTGGTAAAGAGGATAAAGGAAATAAACTTATGTTTGGAGTATTATCTATCTCACACGAAGGAAAATCAACATGGGGCCACAATGCTTTCCTTCCTTTCCTCCACCTTACAATTCCCTTTCCTGGCCGAAAGAAACCGCCCCCCATCACCACCTCTCGCCCCCGCACCCCCCCCCCATGCCCTGCTTGGCCTACTGATTTAGGTCCATCATTGTTTTCAAGTCCCGTGATCCTTTCCTATTGTGAAAGAGCTCAGATAAATTTATAATCATACATTAGGGAGTCCAAGGCACTACCATTTGCCACACTGCAAAGATTTCAGCTTTTTAAAAAAATGTAATAGGAGGGGAATTTTCTTTTTCTTTTTCTCATTTTCTCATCTCTGGAAGCTCCCTTTGAAGGGAGTGTAATTTGTCTAATTGCTCTGGCAATACACAGAGGCTGATGGAGGTGGGGGGGGGGCAGTCTCCACCATAATTGCTTTGAGCTTAGAATTCAGAGTGGTTATTGAGGGATTTCTGCTTCTTTCTTACACACAGAGAGGGAGCGCTGTATTTAGATTTCAGCATTACTTTCTACCTGAAACAATTTGGGGTTAAACTTAAAATTATCTAAACGTTTTTGTGGTTAGGCCCAAAATCACCTTAATATATATTATATGGCAGTACTCTAAACAGGCCACATATGTATATAGACATATAAAGCACAGCATCCAACATACACACATCTACAGTTCTGTATCATGCATCCCCACTTCGTTTTCCTTTTTGCCTTGTTGGATATCTACAGTTTGTCTTCCTTTAATAGCCTGCACAAAACATCACTAGCCCATTGTAAGAGGGGCATATGGAGTATCTTTTAGAAACATTTTGCTTTCATGGTCGAAATAATTTTATTTATCCAGAATATACAGCTTAATTCTTCTATCTACACTTATTTACATGGTTAAAATAACATTGAAAAAAGTCTTTTGAAAAGTTGAGGTCATAGATTTCAAGGCACCATTGATAGTGTCCACAGTTGCGCAAAAATGTTCGTCTGTAAAAAAAGGGGGGACGGGCGGGTCCTTTGAAATGCAATAAATTACATGCAAAAAAAAAAAAAGCTTTACACATGAATTTTTTTGTTTCCGTTTTTCCAAACTTTCCCATATGAATTCCTTTTTTTAAAAAAAAAAGGTTGATTTTCTAAAACAGCAAAAACACAGTAGTCCCAAAAAAGAGAGCAAGAGAAAGCGGCTGGTCTAATAGAGTGTCCCGGAGGCCAGCGCCAGCGGGTGCTGTAAGGAGCCGGGCGGCGGCAGGTGGGAATTGATTGAGCTGGCTGCGCTCGGGTACCAGGAAGCCGAGTTCTCCAGGTAGCTGGACGCGGGGGACTGGTTGGAGGTCGGAGGGTGGGCATGAGGGTGGTGGCTGAGCGAGCGGGTCGAGCCCTGGGGCTCCCACACCGCTGGAGACTGCGGCGAGTTACACGCCATAGGGTCGCTGGAGCTGGGGCTATGCTCCGGGGGCATCTCCCCGTTTTTCATGATCTTCTTGATCTTGGATCTTTTGTTCTGAAACCAGATTTTCACCTGGGTGGGGGGGGAACAAAGGCACACGTTACCGGGACGCTCAGGTGCTTGCCAGCGCGCCTCCCCCAGGGCGGCGACCTGGGGCTTAATTCGGCCCCCAGGAGGCCGGACCCTGGTGTCCCCCCGCAGCTGGCGGCCTATGGTCAAGGGGCTGGACCCGGAGGCACAGCCTGGATCATGGGTCCCAGAGGGGCCGCCGCTGGGGCAGGACCCCCAGGCTTCGGTCTTTGGTTGGGGCCGGGGGAGGGGGAGCGATTGTCCGCGCCGGCCAGCGCGCACGTGTAACCCAGCGCGGGACGCACCCAATGCGGCGCCACGAACGTCTCCAAAACGACCGCCTGAGCGCCATGCGCCAGAGGCGCGTCCGCGCGAGGTAGGAGGGGGACCAAGGAGTGCCCGACCGCCTCCTTTTCCTCTCACTCCAGCTCGGCTTCGAGGACATTCTTTATTCTTCCGTAGGCCACTGTGGGGTTGCGGTGGGAGTGAATGGGACCCTCCAGGGCAGACTTCCCCGAGCCACAGCGCCCCCCACCTCGGACCGGCCGCAGGCGCAGGGCGTGACCCTTTGCTTCCGGCCCCCAGCGCGCGGCCTGAGACCCCGGCGCGGGGACCGGGCCCTGCTCACCCCAGCTGCTCTGCATTGTGCGGAGCACTAGACAGTTTCTTAAAGCTGCGAGGGTGTCCTCGAGACAACCCTCCCCTTGTTCCCAATCTAGGGAACTGGCCCCTCAGCCCCCGTAGCCTCGAAGGGCGGGGGGCTGCTTCTGGGGATGAACGGCGTCTCGCTGCCGTCCCCACCACGCACGGCGACGGCACCCGGCCTGACTTCTAGAGGGGAGGGCGCGGGGTCAGTGTCTGTCTGTCTGTGAGTTTCTCGCGGGCCCTGATGAGTCGGCTCCAGCCCGCCGGGACCGAACCGCGCGGTCCAGCCGGGCTTGCAGCCCAGGCGGGGCTCTGGCCCAGGACGTGGCCGGATTTACCTGTGTTTGCGTCAGTCCCAGCGAGGCGGCCAGCTCGGCGCGTTCGGGCAGGGCGAGGTACTGAGTCTTCTGAAACCTTCTCTGTAACGCGGCCAGCTGAAAGCTGGAATAAATAGTCCTGGGTTTACGAACTTTCTTTGGTTTGCCGTTCACCATCCTCACCTCGGGCTCGGCCACTTCTTTCTCTAAATAATCAAAACAGACCCGGTTAGAACTCGTTGGCAGACAATGGCCCTTTTGCATAACTTGCGAATACAGTCCTTGAAATTCTTAGCACGCAGCCTTCACTCTTTCCCCCATATCACCACCTTTACTTCACGGGGGAGACCCCCCCCAATCATGGATAAGGCCAGGTAGCCTGATTAATTCCCTCTCTGTTTATTCAGGTTCTCCTGAGTTTTTGCAGAGCGTCTGGCACAGCAAAACTCCCCTCTCGGCGTCCGGGATTTAGCCCTTGCATTGGTTCTTGCTTCACCCGGATTCGTTTTCAATCCCACCTTGTGTTCACCGACGGCTCTGGGGTGAGTTCTGGGCCCGTCTCTCCCGGGGATTCAAGCGAGGAAGCCCGGGCCGTGGTCCCCCTTATGTCAGCGTCTGTTCGGGCGCCCGCAGAGGCCAGACGCATGGGCAGGGAAGACGCTAACCGAGGTCTCCAAAGTTCAAAGACCCACAAGCAAACTGCTCCTTCAATTCAGAGGCGAGCGGTCCGAGCCGCCGCAGACAGAGGGTCGATTATGCAGCCCCCATAATCTCCCTGCAGATCTGCGAGGGCACAGATGTGTCTGGTTTCTTTTACAAATAGACTTAATAAGTTCTTGGCCAAAAGGAAAAAAAAAATCTTTCATGTATGCACGAAGCACAGAGCCACTGAAAGGAACGAAGACACCCCACTTCTCCTCCTCCCGCCCCCATCCACCCACCCACCCACCCACTCCGGCAATCTTTTAAAGTTTATCAAGAGTTACAATTTGAAAAAGAATCTGCGGTGGGGTGTTTTCGTAGGAAAGGGGCGGCAGATGAGGACAAAATTAGCAGACTCGGTAGTATAGGCTGGGGCGGGGTGGGGGTGGGGGGAGCGGAAAGACTCTCCAAACGCCTGTTTTCCAAACGTGCCCTGGGGCCACAAGTCCCCTTTCACAAAAGTACCTTCTTATCAAAAGTGCCCATCTCTGAAAGGGGCGGAGACCCTCTCCTTGGGGGGGGTGTGTGTGTGTGTGTGCGTGTGTGTGTGTGTGTGTGTGTGCGCGAGCTCCTGGGAGAGGAAGGGTGGAGGATGAGGACTGTGGTCTCCATTCTGCCAGAGCAGGGGATGCTAATATTAGCAGGATTATTAATGTGCTGGTGGGAAGAGATCAAACCTGACCAGCAAAACCTCTCCAAGGAGACCTCATACCTCTCTTACCGCCCAAACTCACTAACCCTCAAACTCTCCAACTAAGTTTCAAGGCAGATGAAAAAGGAGATGGGAAGGAGAAACAAATTTTAGGCACCCAATGGAGAAAAAAAAATATTGCTCCAATAACGTGACCCTTCAGCAAACCTCCTCCACCTTTAAATGGCTTTTTGTTTTTGGAAATGCCTTGGATAAACCGCAGGGCTTTCGGCGCGCTCTTCCTCTGGCGGGCTAGGGCTCGCGGGCCCCCACCCTGCCCCGCGTGCTCCGGGCACCCACACCACGCTGGCTCGAAGCTACTCCCAGACTGTTCCCTACGGAGTCTTTGAGGCAGCCGTGCATCCCGACTCCCACCGGCCGAGCTCGCCTACCCCCCCCCCCCCAATCCAACAAATAGCCTTCTCCCTACCCCCTTTCCAGTTTAGCTGGCTTGCTCTCCGGGCAAGTTGGGAATCCAGCGACTGAGCGTTCTCCTGAAGGGACCGGAAAGAAGAGACGCTAGTCCGAACACTCCCCGCAGGCTGCTTCTACTAAGAGTCTCTAAAATGCTGGAGAGGGGATCTCTCTCGTTTGTAAAGTCCCGGCCCCCACTCCCTTCCGCCGGGTGCTCCCCCACTGCAGTGGATAGCGCGGCTCCCCCAAGTCCCACCGCGTCTCCGTCCTCCCGAATCCTGACTCCCACCCCCACGCCCGGTACCTGGCTGGCTGGTGGCGCTCGGGACGCGGTTGTAGGCGCCGCCGTACTGGTGGTAGGGGCTGGCGTAGCTGTAATCGGCGTACGCTTTGGCGGGGTAGCTGCCGGCGGAGCCGTTCACGCCGTGGTACTGGTACTGGTAAGGGCTGAGCGCCTTGCCGTAGGAAGCCGAGGTAGGAGGGCAGTAGCCGTGCGGGGCTCCCCCCGGGGCGCTGTAGTAGTCGGAATCGGTAGCCGACGACTCGGGCAGAGTTGGCGACTCCTGAGACGGGTGGTGCATGGCTGCGGCCGTCTGGAACGGGGCTTGGAAGTCGCCGGATCGGATGCTGGGGACCCTTCTGTCAAACACTCCTGTCATCGCTCGCTGGCGGCGGCGGCCCGAATTGGCTGTGGGGCTGCTCCGGTCTAAGCTGACATGGCTGTGGGAGCGAGGGAGGAGGAGGAGGAGAGGCGGCGGCGAGGAGGAGGCTGGGAGTCGCGGAGGCTCCGTCTCCGGCTGGCTGACTGCTGGCTGAAGCGCAGCACAGCCTTGGTTAAATCCTTAATTGCGCGCTTACGCACAGCGGGGTGGATCGGGTTCCATTGGCCAGGGCCTCCGGAGCAGCAGCAACACCCTAACTCGTCCAACTAGTTTTAGCACAACAAAGCATTGCTTAAAAAAAAAAAGGGAGAAAAAAAATGAAGGGGTGGGGGAAGACAGAGAGAGAGAGAGACAGAGTTGTTGCTTGTTGGGGGAAGGAGGGGTGTCTCAGGCAATCTGTTTTCAGTGAATTCTAGAGACGACGCAGAAGCCCCAGCACCCAGCTCTGTACTGTCTGGAGACAATGTGTTCCAATGAGCAGCCTCAGAAAGTGCACATGTTTTGGGATGAGGTCGACCACTGTCTCTCCTTGCTTCTCAGCTGCACCAGGGGCGAATGTGGAATTAAACACTTAAGAGTGAAGTAGGGGGAGTGGGGATGTGGGACAAAGGCAAAAAGAAACGGATGAGAACAATATTTTTAGTGGGGTACTGGGAGCTAAGTTGTAATTTACATGTGTTGAAAATTTGCGATTTGGGGAAAGACAGACAAATCTGGAGCAAGAACTTCCTTTGCCGGAGATGAGTTTTATTTCTGAAAGGGTGAGACAAGGGTACTCAAGAATGCACAATAAATGGCAGAAAGAGTTCCTGCAACCCCCGGTGTCTGCAGTGATTTTAAAAATCACTGCCTTAAGCACAAATACCTTAATGACTCCCAAATTGCTGGCGCCCCAAAGGAGCAGGCAGCCCCACATTTTGTTCAATATTCTATTCTGTTTGGATGCTACTGGAATAGAGGATCTATAATTCTGTGTTCAGTGGCCAAAGACTCCTGCAAAAGTGAATGGTCCACTTAGTGCCCTGTCCTCAGGGACTTAATGGGAACGCCCAGAACACTAGGAAGTAAAGATAAAAGCTCTTTAGGGAAGTTGGGTGAAGCTCATCGATTTCCCTCTTCCAGCTCCAAGGAGGTAGAACCAAGGGCCTGCTTTTTCCTTCCCCAGGTCTGGGTTCCTGTATCCTCAGTCCCTTTATTTCCTGCATCGAAAACATCTTAGGTCGTATGCAGAGAGAGAAAAGGCTCAGGAATCAGACCGTTGGTGTTTGGGATGCAGAGTTTGCTTTTCATGACATGTCATTCTTGCTCTAGCAGTGATCTCGGTGGGAGATTAGAAATTTAATATTAGTTCACCGCTCCCGACTGCCTCTCCCCTCGAATAGGCCACTACAGGAGCTGGATCCTGATTTGGGCCCTCCCAGCATCTTCCTCCAGGGGTCGGGAGCCTGGGAGCCTGGGAGCTTCACTCCACTTCCAGGGTGGATGGCCTCTTATTGGTGCTTCCTCCCTGCCCCCCACCCCCAACTGGAGAAGAAAACATCTCCATTGATTGTTTCTAGGCCTAGTTTAACTGGGGAACTATTTTGGCTCAAAACAGGCTAGCAGGAGAGCCCAGTGGTGGGGGCAGGTGTGGAACTCTGTGCCCGGATGCCAGCCGGGTGCCAGCCTGGCTCTGAAACTGCAAAGCTGAGGAGCAACCACACATGCACCAACTCCCTGCCTCTGCCATCTGGGCATCGTAAAACCACAGCTGTGGTCACTGGGCCCTTTGGGGGCAACTTCAGCTGAGGGGGGGGCCCATGGAAGGCGAGGTGTGTGTCACCAGGTCCACAGTGCCCCTTGCCCTGGCCCAGCCCGAGTCCCCACACCCTGGACTTCTCTGAGACAGATGTCCCGTGAAGAGAGGCAAGGCTGGCCGCCCATCCTCACCCATGCTGTGGGTGTCAGCGCGGCTGTCCACCCCCTGGCTTTAGGCTGGGGAGGACCACAGGGCTTTGGAGGAATATGAGCAACAGCAGCAGGCTTGCAGTCCTGGCCTGTGCTCTGGAGAAGGTGTCGGTGCCCACTGAGTCACCTTACACACATCCTGCCATTTAATTACACGAGTCGCTTCCCCAAAGCAATGCCAGGGACGGTTCAAAGCGCCTCCTGGCAAAGGCAAATGACTCGGAGAGCAGGCGCCCTTCCACAGCGCCCCCCTCCCCTCCACCGCTGCAGCCCTGCCCTGGTACTTATTGTTTATTACAGATTTAAAAGTTATTACGTGGAGGGAAATAAGGGCAATAGGGTTATGCTAAATCAAGTGCTCCTAGCAATGTCCTTAGACATTACTGAGAAGGCAGATTCCCACTTGGATGGATTGGAAGCTGCAGAATTTGGGCAAAATTTTGAAGTTCAAAATCCAATTGACAACACAATGTTACAATATCAAGTTACCCTAAACCTTGCTAAAGTTCACCTCAGACCAAAAAAAAAAAAGGACATTTTCTCCCACAGTTTTTACACAAGACAAAAAGGAGTGGCGGAAGGATTTAATTCTTTGTTTCAATTCCTGAAGTGTTGGCCTTCATGCCAGACAGGAAGACACTTTTGCAAAGGCCTCTGCCGGCCTCCAAATCCGGGTTGTGTCTCTGAGAGTCCAGAGCATCGACTTGCTTGCTTTGTCCTGTTCTTTGCTAGGTTGACCCCACTCCCTGATACCCTTCTTTTCCTTAAAGGAAGCAGGAGGGAGAGGGAGCGCTAAGAGGGGCCACGATATGGTCCCATTTCATTTCCCATATTGTCTTTGTGACTCTGTGTACCGCTGGCCCCCCAAACCTGGTTGCCGCTTCAGACCCACCCTCCCCGCACACTGACTTTGGGTATCCTGGCTGACAGGTTTGCAACTCTTGCTGGTACCGTGGTGGTTCTGATACAAGGGCCCAGAGGTTGGAGACAGCGGGCTGGACGCTGTCACCTCTTTCTAAACCCACTGACCGGCCCAGCCTTGGAGAAACAGCCCCGCGGCTTCCAGCTTCTCCAGAAAATGCTCTCCCCGCGGTGGCACGTAGGAAGAATGTGAGTAATTTCATCTCCTAGTAGCCGAAATTTGCAACTGGCGGGAGGGGGTGGAGGGGAAGCGGACCCTAAGCGAAGAGCAAGTCTTTACCACGAGCGCCACCCAGTGTCCGCGAGGAGCAGCGAGCAACTGGCAAAGGCTTCCCAGACTCAGCGTTCCTGAGTAGACAACGCTGGCTTCTCCTGGGGTTCCAATCGGCTACCACGTGGCTTTCCTTCGATCCACTTCAGCGGATCTTTTTCTCCACTCCTACGGCCCTTCGTACCTTTCCTGTTACTCCTTATACATCCAAACTCTTCCTCTTCCCCTCGCCCCCACCCAGATCACTTTTTTTCTGGGTTTCAGCACGAAACCCAGCAGTTTGGGGGAGTACCATGGCTTCCCTGGTGGCTCAGCTCTAAAGAATCCACCTGCAGTGCGGAAGACACGTGTTCGATCCCTTGGATGGGAAGATTCCCTGGCGAAGGGAACGGCAGTCCTCTCCACTCTTCTGGTCTGGGAAATCCTATGGACAGAGGAGCCTGGCGGAGGACAGTCTATGGGGTCTTAAAGAGTCGGACACGACTGAGCGGCTAAACAGTAACAGTAACATGCTCTGAGATGACTAGAAACAGGTGAGGCTGAGCCTTGTTTTGGAGACAGTTCTGAAGAAGCAGGCGCCCCTCTAACTGGATGGAGCGCTTAATGCTGAGGGTGATTCACTACTTCCATGACCTGGAAAGATGGTGCCACTGTGAGTTTGCAGGGAGAAGGCCTTGGAAAGGCCTAGGAGAAGGTCATTTTAAAAGCAGGGTTAACTTAGCTTTCTCCCTCTGGCCCCTCTGGAGGTCTGCTTACTTGTAGGCGTACCAAAAGTAGAACATCCTTTCCTTTGGGCTTAAAGCTCAGCCAGATTACTGCACCTGAAAATATTTATAACTGAAGATCTTTTTAATATGTAAACGATTTAATTAAGACATTGTACTCATCAGTTGGATGCACAAAATTCAGGTAGATAAAGGACCCCCATAGCATGATGTGCATGTGTGCATGTTCATTCGCTTCAGTTGTATCCGACTGTGGCAAGCCCATGGACTATAGCCTGCCAGGCTCCACTGTCCATGGAATTTTCCAGGCAAGAATATTGGAGTGGGTTGCCAGGCCCTCCTCCAGGGGATCTTCCCAACCCAGGGATTGAACCTGGGTCTCCTGCACTTTTTGTATTGCAGGCTGCCGAGCCACTGAGGAAGCCTGCATAGCATGATACTAGCATTATACGTGAAAACTTGATATAAACAAGGCTTCTTTATTTTAGAATCTTCTTAGAATTATTTTTGAATCAGTGGGCTACCTGTCTTTTAAAAGTCCTTTTCTTGGGTTGAGGTTTATTTCAGTTTTTATTTGCAGTGCTTGATCTGTTACTTTTCCTCATCTGTCCAATGAAAATTGCTCTGAGAGCAGTTCACTGTTTCTATGTCTTTAACGATCACGATACATCTAGAGCACTTTTCATCCCAGGAATCTCAGACAGAAACACAGCTGGTTACATATATCTTATATTTTGTAGAGATAGATTTGAGTAATCATTTTATTTACAGTGGAGCGTCACTTTTCTTTGAGGTAGGGCACAGAGATCATTTAATAAGGTAAGGGACTTAACTTTCTTGGTGGTTCAGTGGCTGAGACTCTACGCTCCCAGTGGAGGGGGCTGGGGTTCAGTCCTGGTCGGGGAGCTAGATCCTACATGCTGCAACTGAGACCTGATACAGCCAAATAAATAAATAAGAATAAATTTAAAAAATAACTGTAGAGCCCCCAAATATTAAATTTGATGTTTGTCTAGAAAAGACACATTTCCATGAATTTGAGGAGATGAAAAGATAGGAGTGATGATTGAAAAAGTGGTGAAGGCTTTTAAAAAGTATCAAAGGTTGTTGGCCGTTGGTTTTGGAAACTCAGC